ATTAAATAAGGCAAGGCTTCTGTGTACACGTCAGCACCTTGGACCTTACCCAAAATAAGTTTGACAGTTGCAATGCTCAAACAGTGGGACAATTACTATGTAGCGTGGCTTGTGCGTACCACCGCCCCGGCTTCGCACGGATGTTCATGTATTATACATATAAACCTTCTCCTTGAATCACTCTATCTATTGCTGAAAACTGCATTAGAATCCGTTACGTAGTTTAAAAGATCTAAGCGAACAGACATGCGGAACGACTTCATGTTATACTATGAAATAAAAAGAAAGATTAAAAATGAAACAGCATGTGAAACTGTGAACACACCTAGTTGATTAATTTTACATTTTTGTTAAATACGCAGCATCTATTGCTGTTAATTTACTACGACTATCTTTTTTTATTTTTCCATCGACAAATAAGTAAACATTAAAATTAACAAAATACACTGAATGTGACAACCCTATAAAATTAGCTTGCACACCCCTTGTTTAAGCCCCCTGCAGCGTTTGGCAAGTGAGATCCCATACACACACACTCATACATATGTCTGGCCCAAAAAATTGACAAGACATAAATTAAAATAACCTGTTCGGTAGGGTAGTTCTTTGTCGCTTATGACATTTTATTAAGTTGGTTTACCAAACTACTAAGTACAGAAATTAAACAAAATTCAACCTTATATCTACTACTTAAGCTCTAATGTTTGTGTATAAACAGTTGATATAGTGTAGTTTATTTTCAAACAAATTTGAATCTAATAATTAAAAGCACGAAGTTTGAAATTTAACCGTAGAGTTGAACTATAAATATGGATTCATATTTTTTTTAATTACAAGAAATGCTCTATGGATTGGATGGTGTTTGAGATAGATTCTTGAGAAATAACTTGTTTACACGAATTGTGTCTGCATGCAATGCATTTCGATAAAATATCTATTTCCTGAGAATTTAGCAAGCATAACTATACATGACAGCCTCGGTGGTGTAGCGCTTTAGCACACGCCCTTACTACCAATGGTTGCGGGTTCGATTCCTCGTACGGTACGAAAATTTGTACACATGAATATTATTGTTTGTATCAGTCTAGATGTTTTCTGTGTATAATATGTACGTATTTAAGAATAAAAAAATATCTATGTTTTTGTATCAGTTGTCTAGTACACATAACATACAGCTTTAGCTAGCTTAACTTACTAGATTGCGCTATGTAAATGGTCCTGAGATTATTATTATTATGGGGATTAGAAAAAAGAATTATTAGTAGATTATATAACGCCCCATTGCCGACAGTGTACGGTGGGCCGTCATTCAGTCGCTTGAAACCATGACCTCCACAATAGAGTCCTATCATCCGGTCTGACTCTCCTATTCGCTTGCCTAGATAGATTTAGTCAAGTAGGAAAGTGGAACTATTGTCATGATTACGCAGATATAGTCAAGCAAGAAGGAGTGTGAGTATCACTCTCCTTCCTGCTTTTTCTTTTGCTTTGCGAGACAGTTTTTGTAATAGTCAATCAAGTAGGAGAGTGGTACTATAGTCATGACTACGCAGATATAGTCAAGCAAGTTGAAGAGTAGAACTATAGTCATGACTACTCAGATAAAGGTAAGCAAGTAGGAGAGTGGAACTGTAGTCATGACTATTTAGATATAGTCAAGTAAGTAGGAGAGTGGAACTATACCCAGTTGTAGCAAGCATTCCATACCACCAACTTTCCCGTCCCCAGTTGTTATTTCTATATTTTTTACCATCACGTAACTAGAGGAAGTTTTTGTGAACCACGCAAAGTGTTCGTGTATCGTGCGATACAGATTTCACGAAGAAAAAAGTTTGGGAAAAAAGAAAAAAAATTGTGAGACGGACGGCGGGCACCGCCTGCTTCGTGTCAGCCCGGTGGCATGGCATCGTCGTGCCCCACACCGGAATAAATTTCCCAAGATAAACCAATGATATTTCTAATACTCGTCTATATTTTTATTTATTATTGATAAACAAGAATTCATAATTGGCGCTACCAATTAGTCCCGCCTACACTGCACCAAAAAGCTGCAGAACGTTGTTGACTACATACGGATTAGAGGTAACCTGACATTGAGGGTGACGAGCTGGAGTCGAGTCTCAATGCGAGTTTTGAGGCGTTTGTGGCCCGGGTCCCCACCAACATGCTGTCCACCTTCATAAAGGAGGACTGCTGCCCGAAGAGGATCGTGTATCGGCGCTACCGTGGCAGATTGCCGTCGTCAGAGCCGTGGCCACAGATAATTTATATTTGTTGTATTATTCCATATGCATTTTAGTGTATAAGTAATTTATAATTACAATACTACTAATATGTTATAAAATAAATACATCTTAGTCCTCCGGTGTTGGAGTCGTATGAGCAGTAAAATGTGATATTTTAATGCTATTCCTCCATATAGGCGACGTTTACAACATACTATTAAAGGTATGCCGTCAGCTTCTTTGTCATTCTATTTAAATAAAAAAGCACTAATACGGTAAATTCACAAATAAAAATAGAATTTTGCTATTATGTAATTTATTTAAGAATTGTTCGGATTTATGAATACGATCGCTGAATAATCGAATGAATGGGAAACAATGGACCTCTTAGGCATACCTTGATTTTTTACTAAGTATTACACTGTACCCAACCGTCAACAAGGTCTTGATGTCGTTTTCTTGTTTCGTTTATGTATAAATAAGGATTAGGACAGATTAATCTTCAGACCAATATTCGTCGTTAGATAATCTCATGTATACTCGGCAATCCGGTATCGTTGCATGCCGTCGCACACGGGTTCCTGCTGTCATGTTCCCTGCTAAATTACTTTTATAAACCAAATGAACCAAAATAACTCTTATTACAGTGCGGTAAAGTTTATTATGATAGCAAAGTATTCTTTGTCGGCCAACATCGCCCCGTCTGTGGATATACTTATTCTATTAATCTAAAACAGACCTTACGATGTACGCAATAAAGTTCTTGTAATCAGAACTAGTTTATCTTACATTCAAATTATCTTTATGTCAAGGGCGTAAGAGTGATTTTCAACTTTTTTGTATTTTTGCTGAGTAGGCAATGTGACCTATTTAAAAAATGCACCGTTTATTTAAATTTAGATCTTATCAGATTGAGTTAAGAGCTTTTATTATTGCATAATAATTTGTCAACCCTCGAAAAGCTATCGAGTCTTGGTACCACGTCTGGCTGTCAATTGAAATAGTCTGGCGGCTATTTTAGCGACATTTTAAATTTTATAAAGTATTTATGGTCGCCAAAGCCATAGGAAGAGAAAAAAGTGTATATGAAACTAAGTGCAGATACATACATACCAATCTATATTAATATTATAAATATGACAGTATATCTGTCTGTATTACATTTTCACAAAACGGCTGAACAGATTATAATGAAATTTGATGCAAAGATAGATTAAAGAACTGATTAAAAAAGAACAAAACATGTACCAGTTGCGTTTCATTCATGCCAGTTCTTGTCAACTAAAGTATATGTTCTATATTTAACTAATAAAAACTGTTTCATTTTATGTTACGATGGTGGCAAACAAACATAAGGCCCATCTGATGCCTATGGACGCCTGAGACACCAGGGGTATCACGTGCGCGTTGCCTTAAGAAATTTTGGCAGCTGGAAACTCCTCTGAACCCGCACTGTCCGGAGACAGACTTTGGTTCCAGCGTGTGGGAATGAATTCCCTTTGTACTATAGCATTTCATTGAATACAAAGTACCGTTTGTGTTATTTCCTTGAATAACAATTTTTCGCTTATCGAACCCGGAATCCAAATGTTTATATGGGGGCGAGATATATTTATCTGCGTTAGATGTTGCAGAGGTTATCAGCTCAATGATTGTTTGTTGATAACAGATGAATATACAACGTTGTGTGCCCGTTCTTACCTTTCAGAAAGAAAGAAAGATGATAGTACTAATTATTTATTTAGTGTCTACAATAGAAACTATGTATAAAGATAATTTTTTTTTATTCAAATAAACTTAATATAAGGACTTTTGAATAGTATTTTTTTTATTCTATTGCAACCTTGAAGAAAAGATCTTATTCCGTCTTAAAAGGCTGGCAATGCATTTGTGTGTTGGTGTTGTGGGTACTCATGGGCGGCGCGGCGGTAATCACTTACCATCAGATGAGCCGCAAGATTGTCTGTTCCCTAAGCAATAAAAAAAATTAAAATAAACATTTTTTTACATAACGCGCTGAAATGAGCGAGAGCGAAATGCGCCGAGTGGAGTACTCGGCATGTTTCTTGTCTTTTAGGTTTGTGTTGTGTGTTATCTTCTCAAATACAATTGTTAGTAAAGTAGACTAATTAATGATAGCAATGTACCATGGTAGATTGATATCCACGGAATTTCCTCTGGAAACCATGATAAACTCCTCGTCAATGTGTTACAATGGGTTAACTGATCTGATCTCTTGCTCGTCCTATTATCCTCCAATAGTGCCTCGCTAGTGTAAACCGTTAGCGCAGGCGAGTGCACCATTCCATTATCTTGTATAAAAAAAAATTACGCATCTTACGTACTGTTTATTAACTGACTCTATAAACTATAATACTAGTAATACTGATAACTAATACCATTTCAACAATTAAATAGCCAGTACTAGGCTCTAAACGTTTAGAGCGTAAAATAGGCTTTAATACATGTACATTAATACAGTACATTAATTGTACATTAAATGAAAATCCAGTGCAACAACAACTATTGAACTTATGTCATTTAAGTAATCGTTTAGTGAGTAATAGACACCTAAATAAACAATGATGACAAACTGGCTTTTTAAAATTAAGAAATTCAGACGAGTTTCCTGCCTCAGTTGATCTCAGTTGAATCTATAGACTGAACTGTGATGTAAAAAAATACTAATACAGAAAACTTGTCTTGCAAAGTACTCTACAATAAAATGTTCTACAATAATATTATTCTTTGTTTCAATTTTAATTTAATTATAAACTATTCTTTATATACGGTTCTTAGAAGAGCGAAGTAAGACCACGAACGACTTAGAATCTGAAAAAAAATAAACAAAATATAATAAAGATTTATGTAATGTGATTTGGTACCTATTTATGTACTTAGGATAAAGGGGATTGTTAATAACCCGGTTCCTCCTTGATACCTTCGTGTGAATTCATGTATAACTTGCCACAATGAGCTAACAGGTCTAACCTCATACTCTCATCATCCTTCACTGGTGCTAGCCAGCATATACCGTTAATGCAGCCGAGTGCACAATTCCATTATCATCCATTAAAAAAACCTATTTACATACCAACAATGACAAGTCAAATCAACTATTTTTTATACTCCACGCTCTCTTCAGGAAATCATCATTTGTATTAGTTGTCTAGTATACATAACACACGCCGTGCTTAGTCTGGGACCAAATGGCGCTATGTGATTTGTCCAGTAATTAAGAAATATTAAGTATTGCTTTCTATGTAATTTGCATGTGATTTTGGTACAAATTGACTTCTATACAAAGCCGTGAAAAAAGAAGTAATTTTTCAAAGTAATTATATATAATTTTGGTATAAACTGGCCTCTGGACAAAGCTGAGAAATTAAAAAAAAGTATTTCATTCGATGTAATTATGATTTTGGTACAATATGGTCTCTATAGCGACGAAGTGGAGAAACATATACAAGACTGCAGTGTAAGATATCGTTGGAACATTACTTACGGTGGTAAACGCATTCATGTTCACATCGGCAAATTTAGCAGCTGTCAGTTTGCACGGCTTCTGTGTCCTGTAGCAAAGTAAGTTAAAACACCCGGCTTTATATCACCTTGTAGCTCGGTCATCACCTCACCACTTGTTGTGTACGATGTGATGAGATGAGAGATTTTATTTTACCCCCTTAAGGGGTTAAATTTATTACAATTTTTGAATTTTATATATTTAATCAATAGGCTAAAACTAGCTAGCTATATTTTAAACTTATATATAAAAATTACGATACTTCCATATAACCTTCTCCCCTTTCAACCTTTAACAACCCTTTACTCGCATAAAAAAGTAGCTTACATATGTCCTTTCTCATGGTCTAGACTACCTAAGTACCAAATTTCACCAAAATGGGTTCAGTATCTATTGGCGTGAAAGCGAGACCGACAGATAGAGTTACTTTCGGATTTATAATATTAGTAAGGATTATTACAAGAGCAGTATGGACCTTGATCTGTCAACGTTTATTATAACATAATTGAATGCAAATGAAAAATAAATAAATAATATTTACCTAACAATTACTAGGAGCACGCATTTCTTTATGTCTTCATGTGTATCGTACCACGTGGAGTTATATGCCGCGGTCGTTAGTGCTGTACTCTGAAAAGTTAATCCTTGTAAATGTAAATGTAAATTGGACTCTATTCTCCGCAATTAGCGTCTCATTTGGGCGCGGGTAAAGCTGAGACAACTAAACTAACCAGTAAAGTCCCCCCCAGAGGTGCAGAAGCGTAGTCTTCACAGACTATACGGAATTACGTGAGCAGCCGTTTCTTCAGGTTCAAAGAGCCCCGATAAAACTGACTGTCTGTAGTACCTATTGTTTACAAGTGTTTGTTTATGGGGCAGTGGCCCGTTATTGTCCCCTATAAAGAAATAATACTTATCCATACCTCTAAACTAATATTAATCGATATCACGATAGCTTGAGGTTCGAAACCCTAACAGTGCCCTTGGACTAAAATCTTATGCGTCTAGCAGCACTTGGTCTTCAGCCGCTTCAAGTTTTTTAAGTCCTTCATTTGTACCCTCTGCCCTTTCTTGTCTGGCATTAGAATAGATTGCAAAAAAAGTAATAATCGAATTAGGTGTTATTTTGCGGAAGTCCCTTTCATTACTTAATGGATTTATATTATTTTATTTAATTCCGCTATCATTAGCATGTTTGAGACCACAAATAATCAGTGCGAAAACCTGACCACCGTTACGGGAAGCCTGACCTTCCCTATTAGTGCTGAAATTTCTATCATTGTCATTCGAATTTAATTGTAACATATGTAATTTACAGTACATGTTACAATAGAGCACTGATACCTATAGCACATGTGTAATACCTAGTTTAGGTTATAATGAGTAACATATATTATACGAGTATATTAGTATCCTTATGTTGTATTACGCAACTTCATCCATTCCAACCCAGTAGCAACTTCATCTGTTATGTAGGTGTACTCCTTTTTAAATATTGTAATTTTATTGTACATACAAGTAAAACATAATATATTATCATCAATAACTAGCTGCGCCCCGCGGTGTCACCCGCGTTAAATTCCAATATAAAATATAGTTAATATGATGCATAAGCTATATTACTGTAAAGTTTCATCAGAATCCGTTCAATAGTTTTTGCGTGAAATAGTAACAAACATCCATACTTATAAACATTCGCATATGTAATATTACTAAAATTACACAAAAAAAAACTGATCCATCAGTTTTGATTGATCAGTTTAGGCCTCACGTGAGTCTTCTACTTTCTCATTATATATCTATCTATTAATAATTTTACGACATTCTTTCTTCATGGCAAAACCAACGTAGCATGTCATTGCATGCAGCGTAGCATAGTATGCAACGTAGCGTAGAATTTTCTAAATACTTATCTATACTCCATACTATATTAATATTCTAAACCTTATGGATAGCAAATATATCATAATACTAGCTGTGCCCGCGGGTTCACCCGCATTTAACTTCAATAAAAAATATGGTCTATGTGTTATTCTGATCAAATTATTATTATTATTCTATATAACTGTAAAGTTTGATCATAATCCGTTCAGTAGTTTTATGCATGAAAGAGTAACAAACGTCCATATCCACAAACTTTCGCGTTTATAATATTAATAAGATTAAAATATTGATGTACTCTTTGGTCTAACGGTTTACCACACCTCTTTACCTACGATGGTCACAGGTTCGATTTATCGCACGGTTACATTTGTATTCATCTATTAACACAAACCGGCGGTAATATTTACAAAAAAAATCATGTATGTCTTTCAGTTGTCTATAACCGATACCATAAACTCTGCTTAGATGGGACTAGATGGCTCTGTGTGAATTCTCCATTATGAATACTTTATTGTAGCGGCTGACTGCTAGTGATTGTATATCTGCTTATTCGATTATGCAGAATGACTATTAACCAGAATTGTGATATTTACACTAACACAAAAGACCCTGCAGGAAAAGCTAGTATAGGTATACAACCAGACAGATGATAGTCAACTTACCGAAGTCATAATCAAGTCTCCGAAGAAACAAAGCAAAGATATTTGTGACAAATTCATGTACAGGAATATACTGAACAATATTCCCACCGATGTATCCGCCAGGGTCTGAAACACAATGAACATCGGTACTAAAAATTTCATCATCATCATGGTCATCTACATCATCATCGTCTTCGTCATCATCATCGTCATCATCGCCATCGATTTTAAGTTTACTATATTACCTTTTCTTATCTTTACTTTCTCTACCTATCGGTAGTCTCGAAGAGATTGCTTAGCGATAAGACTCTGCTTTTGTGTCAGTTCATGTATATTTACTATTTTAATTATTTTCTGTATAAAAAAATATAAAGAGAGAGCGACGAATTTCTTAGCATTCCATGGAATCAGCGTATGGGTGCCGGTTCCGTTGTGTAGCAGTGAGGGAAACTCAGAGCAGTTTCCGTGTATTCTAATATTGTAAAAAAGAGCAGGAGAGCGGATTTTCAAATTGAAACAACTGCACTAATTTGAGAATTTTTTCCACTGTTACAAAGGTATGTTATTCCAGAGCGACATACGCTATATATCTATCCTCAGAAGACAAAAACCATCGCTCTAAAACATCCTTAAATTCTTGGCCCTGACGGTCCTAGATAGCGACACTAAAAAAGGGCAAGCACAATACATTTCAGCAGGTCGCAGTGCTACAGGTCTAACGCACATTAATAGCTCAAATTCCTTAATAAAATAAAATATACAAAATTTTTCCCACTATTTAAGTAGATTTCATGCAGAATTAATCTTAAATTATAAGACTTATTTATCCTCAAATAAAAAAAGAGTAAATATACCGAGACAGTCTAACAGTATTTATCGAACGATGTTAAACATTAACATTTACCGTTATATTGAATCCACTGAGGCATATAAGAATCGAACTCGTGATGAGGTTGAACAGAGTCGATTTTGAATACAAAACTTCCACCTGGTCCACCAGCCTGCAATTAATAGTATAGAATAGAAAATCCTTTATTCATATAAGCTTAACTTAAGCACTCTTTAATAGTCATATTTTTTTTTATCTATAGCTCATTTGGAAAGCTGTCTCATCACAAGAAGAACGAGAAGGAGCTTGTGTGTTGCTCTTTTAAATAGTCATTATAACCTCTCTTAAGTCACTTAAGTCACTGGATGATATTATAAACATGCATTATTTAAAAAAAGAATCGCCAATGTCTTTCTTTCCCATATCAAAATCTACATCTAAGGCTGTCTAATAATTACATAGATAATAAGTATGTACGTTACGATTTATCTTTTTTAATTATTTGAAAGGTTATGACCACTTGTAAAGACTGTAGTTGACCTATTGCCCTATACTTGCTGACATAACAAAATTTACTGTTTAAGTCACTATTATCCTTCAGACATTGTACGTTTCCTACACAATTTATATTGTTTCGAATGAATAAATATATAAATAAAAAATGCAGTTCAATTGATAGCCTTCGTCTTTTACATCGGTTAATGGGAATTAACTAACCTTCAGTCAGTTTCGGGGCCACAGAAGCTATATACAATAAAATGTTCGTGGCCTGTCCGTCGGTTCGTGTACACACGCATCACAGGCGACGCATGCCCGCACGCATGCTATTGTATGCAAATCTAATGTTTACGGTGATGAATCTGCGCCTGCGCATACCCCTCGTGAAGTAAGGCAGTGCTAAACCGCCAAGCTACTTAGTATTATAAATTATTTTATTTTTGTTAATTTAAAGGGAACTTTTTGTTTAATGGATAATAATGGAACGGTGCACTGGCATGCGATAACGGTTTACGCTGGCGGGGCACCAGTGGAGGACGATAAGATGAACATGGTCAGGTCAGTTAGTCCATCGTGACAAATTCCAATTGAATCGAATTGCCCCCTTTAATAATCAAATTGCAAATTGTGTTATGGGTACTAGATAACTGATATAAATAGTTAGATTAGTTTTGCAAATACATACATATACATACATACATACATACATAGAAAATACCCAGACTATCGGTCTGGGTATGTTATCTATATTTATTTTATATTAATCATACTCATATTTGCAAGAGCGATGTTGAACATTTACCTATTTAAAATATTTCAAGTAAAGAGGTAATCAGTAAAATGTGCCCACGAAAAAACCCACGCGATGGAAAATTACAGCATCTACATATATCAAAAAGCCCGTATGTATCATAACTATTGTAAAATATCCTTCATTTTGTATAAATCACAGAATAATATGGCATTTCTTATCAGTTTAAGGAATAGCGGGGAAAACCTGTTTTATATATTGTAATTAATTCAACATTATTAACGGTACGTCTAATTACTGTCTGTACGTTTATTATAAATACATATTTTATGTATACATATATCTTCACGACTACAATACCAATTGATATAGTCAGACGTCATTGAACACTTGACATATCGCTAGCTATATTGGAATTCAATTTGGCAAAAACGAGCCTACCGCCGCGCCGTGTTTTGCATTGTTTTGAATTGTTATAAGTGTTTCAATCACGGTAAAGTCAGTCAGATATATAAATCGGTACAAAGTTTTTTTTCGTGTCTGTCTTTTATAAAAAAGAGTATAATAAAAATTTAAAAAACTGTGTATGTTACGTCCTGGATAGCCAATAAAACTAGTGGACTGTCATTAATATATGTAATATGAAAACAGTTATGAAAGGTAGACACAGATGAACATTAAACTAAGAAAGGTGGAATTATTTGTAAGTCCGCCACCGGCCGCAGTTGCCGATGCACAGCACCGGCCCCGCAGCCCGCGGAGCGGTGCGTTGAGCGCGTAGCCAGTGTACATTAAAGATATACATATAAGAAAAATATTACTAGAGAATATAACGGAACCCAAAATAGTGATTGTTCAAGTATTTATGCCTCTACATTTCTTTTCGGTAATCTTAGAAAACAACTTAACAGATTTGGATGCGGTTTTCACTAATGTATTGTATTTACCTTCATTGCATTAATGTCAGAAGCGCCTTAACCGATTTAGATGTTGTTTTCACTATTGCATCGGAAGTAAGTTTCATTTAAAATTGTTTTATTATAAACGGCTTACAATCAAAATATGTTATACAAAGTCGCGTTCTCGGCTATTGGCTTAGAAATATGGCATAATGAAGGCAATGAGAAGGCTGATGAAGTTGTAGGGTCTGAAGCTACCGCCTACACGGTTCCTGTATTTTGCAAGTTTACATTAAGTTACGTAAAGCAGCATTTCTGGGAGATTTGTACTTTTGACTCTGTTGCTCTTTATGAAAACCCCAATAGTAGCTAGTACCTAATACCTATTATATTATCTGTGCTAATACTCACTTTATAAGTTCCTGGTGTCTGACGACATACTCAGCCAACTGTCTCCTCGTGTCTCCAGCTGACTCTGTTGTCATATTTTCAAAATGGTGGCACAACAATTTAAAATGCATTTGTATGTACGCACAGAGAGCGTAGAATAATGTGTCTGAGCCGAATACAAAAGACCCCACTAGTACAGCTAAAAAAACATAATCACATGTTTAAACTAGTTACTTGAGATTTGTTCATAGGAATTATATTATACATCTAATTAACTACCCGTCCTACGCACGGATGTATTACAAATCTTTGAATTTAGCTTGCTCTATACTACAACACACAGTATTATTATACATATAAAACTTCCTCTTGATTCACTCTATCCATTGGCAAAAATTAAAATTATTATATTCAGCGCCACAATTAAATGATTTTGTAATAAATACACATATAGTACATAGAAAATACCCAGACCGCTACAAACAATTGTATTCATGAATACAAATGTTTGTACCGAGCGAGGAATCGGACCATCAAAAGTAAGACGATGTGCTAAACCACTGAGGATAACTCAAAAACGGCTAGAATATTTTGATCTAATTTACATGGAATCACATGAGAATTATTAGCATTTAAAATCTGTTGCCATAGCGAAAAGTTCTGTGTTACACACAGAAAAAATACAGCCCAATTGGAAGCGTCCGTTGATTTGAGGTCCGTTGAAAAGGCCATAACATATGTTTCAAACTTACTTGACCATACATGATGAGCGTAGACAAAAGGCCACCTCTCTTTAGTGGCATGATTGAAGAAATATTTAACAGGATACGGATATAAAAACTCAGTTTCACCATTCTTATAATAACTATATGCCATCATAATAGCTGGCATAAGAGAAAACGCCACAATGACTGATGTGGATACATAAAATAGAAGTAGAATTACAAGATTCAGGTATTTTACTGTAATTTTCACAATCTTCGTTTCAGTTTCATCTAAATCTATAGATGGCAAGCCTTCGTCGGCCTCTGGATGCATAGCACTCAATTGAACGAGGATTTTTTGAACTAAACTTTTATACCAATATAGAAACATAGTTTTGGCGGTTCCCAAAAGAGCAATTATTATACAAGGGCCTGCGAAAGAAAGTTCTAGAAAACTTTTACCAGTTTTTATTCCGTCAAAGACCCAAATAAATTCGCTAATTATGTCAGTGTACACGAACGATATATTAAAATAAAACAGATATTGGTATAGCTTCTCTATAAATCTGTTGTTTATTGGATCAATTTGTATACCAGAAATTAATAATGCTGTTTTAGTTAGACTCAACGACTTATCATAAGCGATTTTGGTCATTTTTTAAATTTCGAATTTAATTGAAATCGTTATTTATATAAATAAAATTAAAATAGTATCTATATTCTTTGTAATAAAATAATTCAAATATTTTTTTTAAATCGTCTACTTCTTTCGGTGCTGAGGAATACAATGGGAAGTTTTTATTACAGTAAATAAATGTAATAAATTTAGGCGGCACGGCAGTGGCATTGCCAAGTCGAGCAATGCCGTACCATCCTTTTCTCGAAGTGGTACTCTCACCTTACTCTTAATCCATGAGTAATTTCGTTGTGCAAGAAGATTGAATTTTTAGAGATCAACAGGACATATACTATAACTGGCTATATTACTAACCATTACCATTATACCGTTTCCATTGGGAAATAGCGCTTGTCATAGTTCTTTATTTTTGTCACTAAAGTTTTAATTCAAAATTAGTATCTGATTATTTTACTAAAATTAGAATTTTGTTAAGGTAAGGCAGTGCTCGACCTGGCTGGGACACTCCCGACCCTCTTGATTTGTAGGATATGAAACCGTATCATTTTAATTATTAGAGCAATAAAGATGTGGAAAATTGATATGGTTTCTATAAAAGATTCTGTAATAGATTATGTAAAAATTTATAACAAACTTGTTGGACAAATGTCGTCTTCTATTCCACAGTTTAAATAGTTTATAGCACAGGCTTACACGTTTATTACAGCAAAGGACATTCGGCAATACTGGCCATTATTAAAGCGCAATTTCATTTAGCTTTAGAAGAACTAGTATTCGGGCTGTTAAAAACGACGTTCCTCAGAAGAAAACGAATTTCTCCTATATCAAAATAGATAAAAATTGTTTTTTTTTTTCTTTTAAAATACAGTCCATTTTCTATTTTTACTTATATCCTATACATATATGTAAAGTAACTGTAATTGACTTGACTTTCCGTGAGATCTTACAACTTTTTGTATCGAAATTGCGAGACTTGGCACTTTTTTACATTACATGATGTAATGGGATTAATATAGTCATTTTAAGGCTAAACTATAGCTATTAGTATTCCGTTTGCTGTCCATTTACTTTAAAAAATAATTAGTTAATCTCTTTGACTTAAGGCAATACTTATTCTTCTCTCTATTAATTATTAGTATTCTAGGTAATTACTGACTCTCGGTGTCACTCATCTAGTGTCGTATAGATATAATTAATGACTATATCGCTTCGGACTAAATGACATCTTCTGTTATTTTCTTAATTAATAGTAAAGGAACATAGTAATTATATGTTTAAACGATATTATTGAAGATATAAAATGTTCAACTACATGCCTACAGAGTTTTGTTTTAATAATTTCTGTTATTTTTTAATATGAGCAGAAAGTCACAGGAAGTTACAGAAGTTTTGTTGTCACATTTTTTTGTGCCTGAAATAGGCATTATAATTAGCCAGTTCATGAAAAATTACATAAACCATTGTGTAAAAAGGATAAACATATATTATTATAATGAGCAAGACAAAGACGTTACAGTAATAACTTTCTATAGACCAAACAACAAAAAGGTTTTCAAAAACGCGCGTAAACTAAAATTCATCTAAAATTAGACAAAAAATACTAAACACGCCTTTGATCTGCCGAATTCCAGTACCGAAGTAATACTCTATTATGCTTGTCGGTTGTTTACCTTGACTGGGCGGCTGGAGAAAAAAAAAACACTGACAAAAGGACCGGCCGGGTTCATCAAAGGGAGATACAGACAGAATCATGAATATGTACGATTTGCCGTTAGTCCTTAGGGAGGGTTAGGTCTTATAATTTGTAGTCTTTGAAATTTTTTGACATTGACATCTGTCAAGGTTAATTATGATTATCTGCCGCTGCAAATCATACAGAAGGGAACGGCTGTTTGAGCTTCAACTCTTTGCCTTTCCTATAAGAATGAATAAAATTTAAAAAAAACTGTAGCAGTCATAGAGTATGTGATATTATCTCAGGGGGCATCTATAAACTACGTCAGACGTAGAGGAGGTGGGAGGGGACCGACAAAGTGTAACATTGTGTGACAAGGGTGTAGCGAACTCCTTGATAGGTTTTATACTATTTTTTAATTTTGTTACATTCTATTATATATCGCTGTCATATTAGTCGCATTTCATTTTATCTCCATATTTTCCTTATTAAAACCCTCAGCACCTCTCACTCATCAGACACATTAGATACCTCCACTTCAGGTAGGAGGAGTTTCTTAAATATTTGACAGCACTTTTTGAAGTCTAATGTCTCTAAGTTTTTTTATAGATGATAATGGAATGTTGCACCCGCCTGCGCTAACAGTACGCGCACCAGTGGAGGATAATAAGATGAGCGTGAGGTCAAGACAGTTAGCCCATCGTTACAAATTCACCAGGAATTTATATCGGTTATTTCCAGAGGAAACCGCGTGGAGTTCAACCTGACATGGTAAGTTGCTAGTAATGGGGTCATGAGTCCACATTACTAAACCTCTTCCCCCCAAGGGGACATTATTAGATATGTTTGAACTTTATCCTTGTCAACATATTATTGTGAATACTATATTTATGGGTTACATTTCTTGTAAGGTTGTTGGCTACATTATACATTACATAAAAATGTTGTATACTATAATGCCATCTAGTTTGTAATTCTTCTAAAGGAAACAGATTTTGATACAGTTTTCCAATTTCCTCCGAAAGGTTTGAATGTATACATATTATATGTTTGTATACTAAATATATACGTATATATTTAGTATACAAACTATACAAATTATAAAAAAACGATTGTAACAAGAAACAGCTCAGTCCTTGAAGAGTTATGTTTTTTATCTGCGTTTATATCTTTATCTGTAGCTTGAACTCCAAAAGTGATAACGCGATAATGGCCCTTATCAAAGGTCTGTTTACTTAGTTAGTGAAACTTACGTAGGTTTCTGATAAGGGATGCGTACAAATAAACAAACACAGCATTATATTCTTGACATTAAATGTCGTTGCATACATTTACTTTTTACCGTCCTTAAAAAAAGTTTATTTTTTTTACAATTGATCCCATGGAATTTTCATCAAAATAAATAATATTTATTATGTATCTCAAGAAGTTCACACAGCGCCGTCTAGTCCCATGCTAAGTAAAGCTTGTGTTATGGGTACTATGACATACGGTATACCAACCGATATAAATACATAGAAACTTTTTTTTTGTAAATACATACACATGTGTGTTTTGTATGAAAAAGAAAAGCTTATTCCTTTTTAAAAGGCCGACATCGCACTCTCAATTCCCCTGGTGTTGCAGATGCTCATAGGCGGCGGTAATCACTTACCATTCGGTAAGCGTGAGATGAGCCGCATGCGCGTTTGTGCTATGAAAAAAAAATATATATGCATTGGTCTGGGCCAATACAAATAGTCATAGTATACACATAAAAATGTTGTATCATGCGAGGAATCAAACTCGCGACTATCGGCAGTAAAGCGTACAAACCGCTAGACCACCAATTAGTTCAGTACTTTGAGTTTAAATAAAAATAAGTGGAAACATATGAAATTCCGTTATATTTATTGTCTAGGGATAGAACTGCCTAACGCCCGACTTTAATAGTCGGTTTTCTGTGCTACCAAATGAATTAGGTCGAGGCAATTGACTTAAGTAACTATCGCTAATTTGCTAAACCATTTTTCACTTCACATCATGTCTAGTTCACTTACTCCTTTTATTTCTGCTAACCTAGTAATATGTCATGCTATCTTTAAAGATATATACATTTTTATAGACAGTAAAATGTTTCACTGCCGGTCCTACTCTTTTCTATACCTCCGCAAAGTCAGATGTCACCAGCCCCAGATCTTAATTTTTTTCGAGACGGTGAAAAAAATAAAAAATGCCGGCACCTAACACTCCCCACCCTCCCCCTGTGGCCAACTTTTGGTATATACATATTATTAAGTTTGTTCAATTAGTATTGTTGTTAATTATTGCCTTTATTAACAGTTATATATTCATTTACAAATGCAGTAAAGACAAACAATTTACTTGACGTCCGTCTGTCAGTAGTAAAGTTGTCAAAGGTGTATCAAAAATTATGAGTTATGTAATATTATGTTATCTGTGGTATCGCCAAGTTTCAATTTGCCGCCTCCAGAACTTGCTGCCGGGGCACGGCCCCGCCAGTGTTGGGAATAGCCCAATTAACGATCAAACTAATTGATTATAGTCAAACAAAATAATTTAATTATAGTTGAATTTCAATTACTGTGCAACTAATACTACTTATGTATTTTTTAAAAATTCAATAATACAAAATATCTTTATTCATAAAAGTCTGTTACCGACTCTTATGATAGGTCAAATCTACCGTCAGTTCGCAATGATTTCGAGATGAGAAGAACTGACAAGAAACTCAGTTCGTATTATTTTCAAATAAATGTTATAGGTACATTAATACAATAAACAAATTCATTTTTAAATTCAAATTTTAAATATAAGAATATCTATACTAATAATATAATGTGACTATTAAAAACTGCTTATATTAAGTTTATTTGAATAAAGATTATTCCTATTTCTATTTCTATAGTAGTATCTCGTCCATTAACAGGAAGTCAACACGCAACAAACGGATGACCAACTTATTTGCGAGTTCACGAGTTCACGTACTGACTTTTGTTAGCTCCGTTTAACTATACTTTGGGTTAATAATTTTGTAATCTACTTTTCATGCACGTGCCATCTGCTATTGAGCTGGTATTTCATTGTATTATATATGAAAACTAGCTGACACTGCAAACGTTGTTTTGCCATATAAATTAAAAACCAAATAAAAAAGTGAAATTTGGGGTAGCATGTACTTTTTAATACTACATTATTAAAAAGTACATGCTAAGAATTTATTTATTAAGATCGTCTAGACATTGAAGTATAAACAAAATGTACAATAAAAGAACTACAAATTTAAATACAAAAGAATATTAAATACATTTCTGATTTGCCAGTACATTATACAACAAAGTTG